AACAAGGGTATGAGTTTCCGACTGGTGCTACGCTGACCTGGTGCTGTTACTTACTAGTTTCTACAGTAGTAGTTACGCAAGCCAGCCTCCGTACCGTGCTGTGGCACTGTGCTTGCGAGGTCAGCTTGCTTTACGAGACTCAGTCGTACGCTCGTTCAGCAGCGTCCACTGGCGAAGCGTTCGACGTACACACGCGGCATCTTGGCGAGATCTTGGTTGCCGTTGTTTTACTATGAGTCAAATTGAAATTACTACCAGGTGACCTCAAATTTTGGTTAGGAGGCACTTGGCCGCATCGCTGGAATATCAGTCAGTCATTTTCACTGTTGAGGCGGAGAATACAGAAACCAGGCATCATTAACCGCAAATACGACTGTAGGTACCGGACGTGAGGTTGGAAAAATACCAGAAGCTGGAATTGGTCAGTTGTCCTGCGATGGGTTTTGTCTTGATTGTTAACTATCAACATATGCTTAAGCTAACTCGACGGCTTTCTCATATTTTTCGGATGAACGCACCACTTAGATAATATGCTGGCTCAAAACTTTTCGAACTTCGTTGGGCAGTAACGAGTGATGCAATTCGGTTCGGTCTCTAGTCTGTCAGACATTCAAGAAGTAGTCGTGGAAATTGCATATCTTTCAGCTTAACTGCTCACTTTTGTAGTATTAATTATGCAAGTGAACATAATATAGTATTGTTACATAACATTGTTAACGTGAGATCAGCATACATTGTGAATAGCAGAGTCACGCTCCGCTCGTGCAACGAAATTCAAGATGAAACGTTCGAAGTGAATGAGTGCGCGGAATGATTTTAAGTTCAGGTTATGAGTTACTCAGCCACATCGATGAGCTACCAATCAGTCAATCAGTTCTATTACTGTGGCAGATATTATAGAAATCGAAGATCACCAACCGCAGACACAGCAATAAGTCCACCAGCATGGTCGGTAGAATGTCAGAGGATGATATTAATCACGTGGTCGGTAATGGATTTAGCTTGATTGTTAGCTATCTACATGTGCTCAGACTAATTCATGCAGCTTCGTCCGTTTTGTCTGACTTACTTAGAAGTCAGATGTGTTGACTCGTAACTGCTTCTGAACTACGGTGTGCAGCAGTGAGTGGTGAGACTGGGTCTGTTGCCTTACTAACTTAAAAGTCACCAAGGAGATTCCTCAACTTCCAGGTTAACTATTCACTTGCACGTCATTAATTATCAAGTTTACTTTCTTACTGTATGGCGCTGTGAATGTGACGTCAACCTGCATTATGAGCAACGGAAATGTGCTTTACACTGACTTTTGTTTGCTCCATTTTAAACTGAACATTTGCGTCTTCTTTTCGTTTGATGCTTAGCAGCGAATCACAATTCGATGTTTGAATTAGAAGGCCACTTGAATGTTGTTTTCGATGCCTTGTGTATCTCTGCGGTACAACCGTTTAGTATGTAGAGCGGGCATTCGGTGGTGAC